TATTTTTAAAAGAAACTGACATATGGAAAATGTTACTTTAGCCAATGTTGAGACAAGTGCTAGAATTTCTGTGTAAAATGGTTACAGGATGGTTTTTCCAGCCTGCATTTTTTAAATAAATGTTCATATTTCTTTTGAGATTAGAAGGTTTTTTCCTACACTTGCAATCTGCAAAAAATATATGGAAAATGTACTCTCCATAAGCCTCCAGTAGTATGGAATGTTTTACAAGGGAAGACACGTTGTAGATGGATTGGGCCATAAGTATTTCGTTCTTCTTGACCATGTTCAAGTTTGAACAGGAGGAGGTCGTGCAGGAGAGTTAAGCTGGGAAGATCACTACCAGAGCATCTCACAGAACAGAGTGGGTACCAAGCAGTGAGAGGACCATATTCCACAAACAGTGCATCATAATGTGTGAGGAGCTCCAAGAAGTGCAGGCTTGTGGAGGGAAAAATTTGTCAGAAATGTGCTGTAGGCTAGATTCAGTAGAAGGACACAAGTGGCTTCCACAGCACAGAACAAGGCCTCGCTCCTGTGCAAGTGAGAATCTAACACTTCTTACTGATGTTACAAAGCTGAAAGGAAGCTCGTCAGGCAGATGTCTTAGGTCAATGTGTGCAATATACAGCTCTCTAAGGAAAACACTGATGGTGGGGATAAAGGTCAATGCAAGGTGCTTCCCTGTAAGCTGTACTTAGGTTACTTTAGCCACATGGAAGTCCCACTTGGGTATTTTCTGTGGAACATGTATTTTTCATTCAAAGAACTGAGCAGGAGCTATGGACTGTCCTTCCAGAAAAGTTATAAGAGGCATCCCTCACTTCATATTGATTAAAGCTTTTGATTCAGTATTTGAGAGACTTGGTTTCCATGCTTAGGTATTCATTCTCTGTGCTGGAGGACACTCAACCCTAACCTGCTTGTCAGGAGATTCCAGTGTGAAGCTGTGTTAGACAGGAGTAGTTTTCATTTCTGCTGCTGAAGGTGGGTCACTATCCTGTAAAGAACACAACTGAGCCTGCCTGCATCTAATGCCAAATTGTTCTGGGAGGAAACAATCCCTTTAAGAACTATTTTTATTTATTATCTAAGGAATGAAGCTAGAATATGTCCAGTTTCAGGAGAATACTATACCTACAGCGTAATAATGTCCCTTCTTGAACATTCCATTGGTGATCTTGGACCTTCTACATCCAGGGTGAGTGCATTAGCTTTTTTTCATGTGTTAAAGAAAAAATTAGGAGTATTCCTCTTTCTTTAGTTGCAGAGCGAAGTGTTTTTTCAGTGTAAGAACTATTCAACAGAAGGTCTGGATACATGGAAACACAGGATCAGATCTGTAACTTGATGAATGTGTGAAAGGTAGCAAGTTTATGTACAAAAATACTGTCTCCGTATTTCTGGAAAACTTGCACTTTGTAAGGATTTAACGTGTTTAAGATTTTTCAATATAATGCCAACCTGTTGAAGAGGTGTTTTTAAGTTGTTAAAGATGACATTAAATTAACACAGAATGAAAAAACTTCCTGGAAAAAAAGTTCTTTAATTTTGGTATTTTCTTGGTGTGAGTTGGCAATGTTCTCTAACTTACTATCTTTAACAGGGAAAAAAAAAAATCAAATAACTTATCCAAAGTTGCATTCCTGGAAAGCTAAATTACATTCCTTATAATTAAATGATTAAAAAAACCCCTTGAAAATAATTTATACTTACAGCTTTTAAGTATCTTTAATTTGTGTTTCTGCATTTAACATTAAGCTACCAACAGGTTTCAGCTAGCTTGAATCATCAAAGCTAAACAGAATTTGAATGAAAAAAATTGAAGTAACATTTGACTAGCCATAAAGCCCCTGTTATTCTTAACATCTGAACTGGTATTTTTCTTTCTGAACTCCCTCAGCTTTCCAGCTAATATGATTGAAAACAAATGTGGATTCTCTTAATTCCTGTATAACTGTACTCTAATTCCAAAATTCAGTAGAACATCTTTATTAAAGAGAACTGCAGATAATCTCTTTATACAGACACTGCTCTGTGACTACTAAAAATATTTTATAATAGGCTAACTTAACACAAAAATCTTCAACCTCTTTCTTTAGAAGAAAGAATAGTAAAAATTATAAAGGTTAAATTAGATCTTTTAAATATACAAGAGATGTAACTCAGTTCTGATTTTGAACCAATGAAGATGTAAAAAAACCCAAAAAACAAAAACAAACCACAAAAACAAAACAACAAAAACCAACCAACCAAAAAACCCCACAACCAAATAATAATAAAAAAAAAATCAATTCCAGATCCAGTTCTAACCTGTGCAGGAGTAAACATGCGAATTTGTATCTAGTGGGTGGAGGTATCACTGGAAGATCTTTGGAAGACTGAGGTGCTGGATGAGAGATTTCTTTGCACATTCTGTTAATATTAGCAGCCATTAGCCCTGTACAGTAAATCTCATTTTTGTTGAAGATGCCTGCACAAGCTGTATAAACAAATATATATATGCTGAAAAGTGTTGTCTTGATGTCGAGGGCAATGAGAAATTAACGACTGAGGTGATTCTGTGTTGTGAGATTACTCTGTGCTGTGGTATCCTCACCTCTTGAAGTGGAGGCTCCTTAGGACACCATCTTTGGTTGGAGTTCTCAGTCTGGAATGGCTTCCCTAGAAAGACTCCGACTGATGATTTATGCAGTCTAATTTTTGCTTCGCAGGCAAAAGGCATTGAGGAAGGAGGAGATGTGGTGTTTTCCTAAAACATCATAGAAAGACTTTGAGAAATTCTGTGCTACACTTCACTTACATACTAATGAAAAAGAAAACAGAAGCGTTTTCAGAGTTTAGGGATCCTTTATGTCTATATTTTATGACTGAAATTCCTGGAAAACAAACCAACCAACCAAACTTTAAGGGAGAGTAGAATTAATTATCAAGATAATACCAGCATTTAAGTTTTCATTCATCCATATTTTCTTACCTGCTTTGATAACTAAATCTTCTGAATTCAGAGCTGAGTTTCCTGAAAGGCTTTTCTAATTACGTGATTGGCAAAGTTTTAAGTTTTCTGACCTACATTATTCATAGATAAAAATTTCAGGTAACTTTTGTTATTTTCCTTTCTTAAAGCAGTTTCTAAATGAATGAAAAGTTCTAAAACTACATGAACAGTATTTTAAAATGATAATTTGAAAGCTTTTGCTGAAAGGAAGCTTATTTAATTTAGAAACAACCATTCTGATTTATCAGAATTGTACAGCAGACATTTAAAGGGCAAGCTGTGGCCAAATCAGTACTTTTATGCAACTATAACTGCATTTGCAAAAAAAGTTAAGAGGAATATGCTATGCATTGTATTGTGTGAGAAATTAAATTTGTTGCTTTATCCTGCAAAGATTTAATTTTAAACACATTTCCAGTTTCACTTAAACCTTTAAGATGACACATAGAAATTTTTAAGGACATAGAGGAATCCCTGTGGTATTGAAAACAAGTGAGTCACCTGAGATTTTGTTTAACACAGTTTTGTTGTTATTGTGAAAAAAAAATGTTTCTTACCTAGCAAGATGATTTATTATATTTGCTTATTCTATATTTTAAAAACTTTTCTCCACCTGTTCTCTGGTAAATACCTGCCAGGTTTTGTACTGAAAGTTGTATGATCTAAATTTCATTTCCTGAAAATTGAAGATAAATGTATTTAAAACTGCTTACTTAAGTTAGCATGTAATGCTAGTGACATAGATGATGATGTAACATAAAGAAAAAAAGAAATATCTTACATACTTTTTGAAGAAAGCCTATATTTGAATGTGTTTTTCACATCCACTTAGAAATTAAATTTTTATTCAAATAATTCTGTCTCTGATTGTGTAGGAAACATTTGTCCAAGTATAAAATAAGGTACAGAGGAAACCCTAAGACAAATTTAAGTATGTTCTTTTTCCAGACAGGAAAGGAATTCTCTCATTGATCAAAATTTTTTGATAGGATGATATAAAATATGAAGATTATTTAAAAATAAAAAAAAAAGGAAAAAAGAATTACTTCAATGCTTACACTGATAATGCATATAGTTCAAGATAAGTTGGGCCAGTAGCCACCTAATTTGGAAGTGCTTGAGAATTTCCTAGTTTGAATGGAAGTTCCCCAGGATGTACACTTCTCCTCTACAGGTGAATAGCATAGCCCTGGTTTGAAGATTTAAATCAAGCCTAACTAAAGTGTCACAAAAGTGCAGCAGTGTAGTAGAAGAACAGCCCGTTTTTCCAGAAGAGATGGGTCTGCCAGATGTGCCCTAATCATGGCTAGTGTGTACTGACAGGGTGGGTTTGACAAAATACATCTGCAGCCCTGTTGGTTTTACATTGCATGGGGGGGATATCCTGGAGCTGATCGTGTATATTGTAGCCACTTTCTGGAGGAGAGAGAATGCTGGAGCTGTGGGGCAAGGCCATGCCTTCAGGGACTCCACCATAACCTATAGTGACTACTTTATGTCTCTTCTCCTGCCTCTGTCACATACAGCAGGATACCCAAAGCGCATGAAAGGAAGGTGCCAGAGCAAACATGACTTTGTAGCCGAAAGCTGGAAACTTGCCTACCCGTGATTTTGGTTTTTCTTTCTTTAATGCTTATGATAAGCATAATGCTTACAAGAAAATAACAATATGCTTACTGGAAACAGGATGCTAGAGCGTGTTCTTGTGAGATCATAATGTCAAGCCATCTCCTGTAAGGATACGGATGACTGAGCTCAGGTATTTAACAATGATGACATCAATGAATGAGTAAGACATGAGGTGTTTGGCATCAGATCCTTAATGCTCAGTAAGAGAGAGCTTACACAGAAAGTGCAGATGTGTTCAGTAGATGTTATGTCATAATACAGAAACTTACTCCTATAATCATGGAATCCATTTCAGGAGAGACCACACCTTCTGCTGGTTTTCTTATTATTTTGAGATTTTTAGTAAAGTAACAAAACACACTTCTCTTTTCAGTGTTCTGTTTCCTGTGGAAAAGGTTTGAAGTTCCGTGATGTGCACTGTATTAATAGCTTCCAGGCTAAAATGGAGGAAGGAAACTGCAGACATTTAAAAAAACCAAGGATGTACAAAACATGTCGAGCTGGAAGATGCCCTGCTTGGGAGGTCAGCAGATGGAATGAGGTATGTAAAATCTGCTATCATTATGTTCTGTATGAGATTGCTGTAAGACCAGATCATATTTATAAAACCCTCCATCAATGGGAGTAATTGTCAGGAAGCTTTTTTGTACGCACATCAAAATTAAATCTACAGTTTAGTAAGTAGTTCATTATATCTTCATTTTCTTTCTATTAAAAGGAAATATGTATGAAATCAAAGTATTTGGTAATCTGAACCTTGGACTTCATAGGTACTTAGGACTTTTCTCAACTTACCGTGTAAATCCAAAGCAACAGGAATCTTTTAAAGTTACTTCTTACCTTCAGTGATGAATTCAGTAGGATGACTGTAATTGCTGTCATAGTCTGAATCTTGAAGTGAAGCCAGGTTTGTGGGAGAAGGGCAAGAAAACGGTGTTGTGGACACAAATACTGGCCTTTTCCCTGGTTGGGTCTTGTAAAAGGTCTCTCACCGTGTGAAATTGTGTGTGACTGAGCACATGGCACTATTTTGCATTTCACTCACTCTTTCAAAATATAATTCTCCACACGGTTAGAAAAGTTACCACTCCCCACGATTTGGCCACGCTTGGCAGAACAAGTATCATAGCATCAACGTAGATACTGTATGATTAGACTTGAGTCTTTAGGTGGGCTTTGGCACCTAATTATGCCTCTCTCTGGGGACTGGTGGCTGTCTGTCTCAGCAAGCTGTAGTGTTGGAGTGAAACTTTGGACACAAAGGAGGAAAAGAGGTATGTGGTAGGAAGGATTTGGACTGTTTTAAGCTCCTTAGGATTCAAAATGCTCAGTACTATGTGCAAAAGAAAGAAGTATCCTCAAAATACCATGCCATTTGCACTGATTTTTTAAAAATTTTATTTTAATATTTTCATTATAAAACAACAGGCAAGACTGTCAGTCTCTAATAAAGGAATGATGTGAACTCAGAACTTAAAACTGTTTTATCTTGCAAAGATGTAAACTTTTGCTTTGCATACACTTACGGTGATTGTTCCTATTGTGAATTAAGGTAAGCGGAAAGATCAGTCTGTGTAATTTGGATGCACTTATTTTCTGTATTTCTTATGAATTTTGATTTTAATTATAGTTTTACATTTTCAACATAAATTTCTTCAGGTACGATACAACATTAGTATGGCAGAGGCTGTGACGTGTATTTTAAATAATACCCTAAGAACTTGTAATAGTGGCAACTGCTCCACCTTCTGGGAACTGTATCTTTTCATCCTGACATGGCTAATTCTGATCAATTTTAGTGTTCCGTATCCTGTGGAGTAGGAATTCAGCAAAGGGACATCTCCTGTCAGCTGAAGGGCCTGGGACAAGTGAGTGAAGCAATGTGTAATCCTGATACTCGGCCCACTGCCAAGAGGCATTGCTGGCTGCCTGCCTGCCTGCAGTACCACTGGCTGGCAGATGAATGGGAAGATGTAAGTAAGGCTTTCAAATTGTGTGAAATAACTGAGTGATGGCATAAGTTTTCTTTTTCCTTTTTTTTTTCTTCTTCTTTTCTTTCCCCCTCCACATTTGGATACATTTTTAGTAGTTGGTTATTATGTTGTAGAGTACCAAGGGACCAAATATGCCAAAGGCTTTGTTTACTCTTACACAGGATTTTCTTGTCTACTATTGTAGACAAAAGCTCTGGTGGAGCTCTGAGTGGGTCCCTATTGATAGATCTGTGCAATTTGAATATGCAGTTCTTTACATAGTATATAAAATGTTTAATAAGCATCATTATGGATTGTAATTTTAAAAAATCACTTTGTAAGAATAGAAATGCAAACAAAATGTCAGGTGGAAGTAAAAACCTCAGAGGTAAAACCTTTGCACAATATTTTTTTTTCCCAAGAAGATCTGTATGGAAGACTTACCAGAAAAGATAAGAAGCAAACTAAAACCCACCTTCTCCTACTAAATATGTATTTTCATATTTAAGAAAATATAATGATACTTTCAGGAGAGAGCTGTCCTTTTTAAAGATGTCGTGACTATTTTCTACATGCTAAAAATTTAATAGCTTCTGTATCTGTGTATGTAAACATACAAACATATATAAAGAGAGAGGGAGAGGGGAAAAAAAAGATAATTGTGTGTAATACCTGAAATAGTGTACAGAAGAGCCTATCTCTTACTGTAAAGTTAAACAAAACCCCTGGCTGTACAGTTGTGGCATCTTAATCTGTGCTGTTAAATTTCCTAGGGCAAACTACCTGAAACTTTGAGTGTGAAGATTCAAAACTCTCAGGGACACAGTGCTGTAGAAGTGACTGCTGTTAATATATAAATCATTTGTTGATGCTCTGAAAAACCTGGATTATAGTCAAACAGTTTGGGCATACGTATTCCTCTGTTAAGCTATACTGAGGGAAAGCTGACAATGCATGTTTCTTCCAGGTGTTCTTTTCTCACATAATGCTGTTAAAATCAGGAATTAGTGTAAGTGGCTCAGAATGGCCTTTTAGCACAAATAAAAACTTTCAGAGAATGAGGGTGAATTTTCCTTTCCCGTCAAAAATTTGTATATTCCAGATGGGTATTTGGAGCCCTCCACTAGAAATGCATTGATCTTCTAGCTAGTTCATAACTTCTTCCACATGGATATTGCTGACTGCTTGAAATTCCTGTGTTCAGTTCTCTTCTCTCACCAGATTCACACATAGCCCTGTACATCTAGTATTAAGAGTATTTCAAGTGTTTCTCCATCTGTGTTCCACTCTGGTGCAGGATGTCCTCCACTGGACTCACGATATTTTGTCCAGCTGTCTCAGCTCCGAGTGCTCACGTGTCATTTCCTCGCCTCACCAGTAACAGCATAGCAGAAAAATCTCCAAATCTAGCATTTCTCCAGCTTGCAGCTGGGAGGCTGGCTGATAGCAGCAAATGTGCATCCTACCAAATACGCATTTTCATACTAAAGAGAAGAACGTCCACAAGACTAATGTATAAATCATAATGAAAAGGATTCTCCTGCCTGTCCCCATTTCCACACAACTGGGTTATTTTCTCTGTGCCTAATATTCTGAGCTGCTCCATGCCATTAAAAGATCAGATATTTCTGTAAATTAAACCAGCCAATGGTATCCACAGTGTATCCCCTGATACAAGTTCCCAGCAAGGGTTTTACCAAGAGGACAGAGCCAGGTTCTGTGCTGTGTCACATGGCAGAAAGACAAAAGGCAGCAGGAGTAAAACTCAGACAGAGAGGTTAAAACTGGATGTTATGGAAAACTTTTTAACTAGAAGACAAAATTTTCAAGACCTGATGCTAAAATTAGAGGTTCCCCTGTTGTTTTACCATACAGCATCTTCTTTTTTTTGTACTCAAGTTGCCTTTTTGAGTTAATAATAATAACATTTGAACAATAGGCTTGATCTGTGTATCAGACCTTCAGGAGTCTTCTAGTTGTTGTTAGATCCAAATGAGTACTAAATTAAGTTCAGGACTGTCATAGGTGATGTTATTGGTTATTGCCTCTGTGGAGTCTGGAGCTGTGTGTATTTGAGCCTGCCTTCTTTATCACAGCAAGTTCAAACAGGTTAGTTTAAGCACCTGTAGCTGGGGACAGCCTGCTGATGTGTATTCCTTAGGCTGTACCTCCACTTTTTGCTAGCAGCAAGGGTCTTATCCTGTCCTGGCAGAACTGTGATGACTTTTAATCCAACCACCCTGCCACAGGCTAAACAGAAACGGCTGCCCAAAGCTGCCATTGACTTCATTAATAGGCAGAGTTTTTTTCTTTTATCAGTGTAATATCACATGCATGATATTCCACAGATTCTTTTTGGGTTTATTTTGCTTATTGATGTTGTATCTTGTACATAATATTCATGGGTTTCTTTGTTTTGTTTTCAAGACCAACTTATTCCTTTCGTATTCCACTGAAATCCTTTTTTCAGCTTGTTCCTTTCCATAGAGAAGAGCTGTTTCTCCCTTGGCTTGACATTTTAATTTTCATCTGTCTCACCCAACAGTTAGGGTGCCGTGTCATTGTACACTATTAGGTTTTTAGCTGATTGAAGGTACCTGAAATCTGAAAAAAAAAAAAGATTTTGATCCATTGTACTTCAGTCTAACACTGATAACAGATGTCATAGAAGTTGTTGCTCTCTGGGTTCTACTGATGTGTGGAAATTTGCAAATAACTTTGTACTGTAAGGGGCTAGGTTAAGTACAAAAACCTTGACTATTTTTCTCACTCTCAGTGCTCAGCATCATATAGAAAAAAGGAAGTTTACCGCAAGGTTAAGTGTGTGGATGAAACCCAGCTCCAAGTGGATGAAAGGTTCTGTGATCCTGACACAAAGCCTCCATCAACTAAAAACTGCTGGATACCTCCCTCTAAATATGTTGTGCTCACAAAAGAACTGTCACAGGTAAAGTAATACTGATTGCACATCTTTTGAATAACTTTACATTTAAGAATGTTATATTGCTGTAAAACATAGGTAATGTGTGCAGAGCAAAAAAAAAAAAAAAGTATTTTCATCTGAACATGGCTGTCTAAACTTTCTCCACGCTGAACCTTTCACTCAACCATGACTTACTGTAGTGGTAGTATAACAGTCTTCTGGTAGCCCGCTGGGACCTCAGAACACCAGGTAGAGGACAGCTGTCCCTACCACAGGGTTCCTTTGCTGGTTCCCAGGAAATTCTTGCAAGCTGATCTCACTGAAGTAAACAAAAATGTTTGTTGATTTCAATTAAGTGATAGATCAGTGCCTTCTTTCCTTGCACATCTGCACCACCTACGTGTGTCTGTGTGTACTGCAGCTGAGAGGGAACTGGTCTGTGAGGTCTGGGCAAAGGGCAGGATGGGACTTCCCATCTCCTTGTATGCATAAGTACTGTAGATCACTTCTGCACACGTGATGCATGCCACCTTGGGGCTGGTACATCAGTTATGGGCTTCTCCCAAGGTGTGGATCAGAGCTGATTTACCTGTAATTGCAGTGCTGTTGAAGGGTTGTTTCACAGAAATAATGCCTGTGCTTGGGGGTTTGATTTTAGTGCTCAGCCAGCTGTGGGTTTGGTTACCAGCAGAGGATCACGTATTGTGTTGGAATCCATTCTGTTAAAAATCAGCGTGCCCGTGGCCTTCGAACTGTAACGTACCAAGAGTGCCCAGTAGAGCCATCCCCGTACATTAACAGATGTAACGTTGAAGGATGTGCACATGCTGCTACCTGGAGAGTGGGGAGGTGGACCAAAGTGAGTACAGATGTGCAAGCTCGTTTTCAGAGCTCCCTCAAACATAAATGAATGCTAAGACTAATTTGCTTACATAATTATAGTATTTGCTGCCTTCTAAAGTGCCTCTTGATGACTATCCATGTCTAGTGCTCAGTGTCTTGTGGAGTGGGGGTAAAGGAGAGAACCGTGGAATGTATGACTGAAAATGGTTTATCCAGTGACTTGTGCCTGCCACATTTAAAACCAGATGCCAGAAAGATCTGCCGTGAGGAAGAATGTAAGTGACAGCTGTAGTTAATGTTTTCCCAGGGTGTCTGTATAAAAGCTATAAATATATTTGGAGCACAATTATGCAAAAGTAAGTCCTAAACCCAAGCTCTATTCATGAAATATTAATATATGATTCTATGATTCATTTTGAAGGTGAAATTTTTACCAACTGCAAAGATATCCAGATGAAAAAAAGGATTAGAAAGGATGGTGAATACCTACTTAACCTTAAGGGAAGGATGATAAAGGTACTTTTAATATTTATGAGCTTTCATGAGCACAGATTTTTATTGAAATAATACTTTTCTAATAAAGAATTTGCTAAAGGGTTGTATTTTCTTTTCCAGATTTATTGCTCAGGCATGCACTTAGAGAATCCCAAAGAATATCTGACATTGGTAAAAGGTGAAGCAGACAACTTTTCTGAAGTATATGGATTCAGGTACAAAAGTAGTTTTGTATCTTTATGAAATGCATTTATTCCTTCCAAAATAAAAGAATAAAATAATACTTACATTTTGTGAGAATAGATGCGTAGAATTCTTTTCCTTGATTTTATCTTTGGAATATCCCGGCACATGTACACACATGCAGAAATGTGGATATTTCCAGTCTGAAATTGTGCTAATTACACTAAATAATTATAAAAGATTTTCTGTCTTGACTTTACTAGAAATGGCTTCAATTCACATTAGTGTTTCAACTGAACTGAGATTAATAGCTGAGCTTGTTCAGTAATTGTTGTTGAGTAATTTTGGTGTGGCACAGTACAATGCAATTATTTTTCACTGTGAAGTTATGCAAAAATGTCAAAAAGAAAACAAAATATTTGCTTTTCTCTAGGCTGCAGAATCCATATGAATGCCCTTTCAATGGAAGCAGAAGGCAAGACTGTGCCTGTCGAAATGATTACCTTGCAGCCGGATTCACAGTTTTTAGCAAAATAAGACTTGATGTGGCTTCCATGCAAATTAAAAGTAAGCATTTTGGGAATTATAGCCAATTTGAGGGCTCTGTTAAATTGCACATGGTCATAGTTACCAAACGACCATTTTGATCCAGCCAGTTGTGCTATTTTTGGGGGAAAAAAAAAAAAAAAAAAAATCTTATTTAGTCTAGGAATTCAATGGGAATTTTGAAGCAAACAAAGAGAAGCCAGCACTATTTCCCTTGTTAGTGTGTCCCACATGCAAGTGGAATGAATCTTACAGATTCATATTTTATGTGTGAACTAGCTTCAGTTTGTAAGGTTTTATTCCCATTTTTCTACTTCGTTTTAATCCCTGGCATATTTTTCTGGGGAGAATCTTTCTGTGCTATGGGTAGGCATTTCTCAGGCCTTTCTCTTAGCCCACTCCTATTTCAGAAAGAAAACTGAACTTTTAGGTTGGCCTAATGTTGCATAGCCAATCTGGACTATTTAAAACGTAGTTTCTGAAAAAATTAAAGAGAGCACAAAAAAAACCCACTCAAAACAAACAAAAAAACATGTGAATGCCATTTTGCACTGTTTTCACCTGAACTTCTAATGCAGCAGTTTCAGTGCTGAGTAATTTTCTGTTTTCTAGCCACAGATTTTCTTTTTGCCCAGACTATACTTGGGAGAGCAGTTCCATTTGCTACAGCTGGAGATTGTTACAGTGCTGCCAGATGTCCACAGGTATTTAAGGTTTCTTATCCCCTTGAAATGTACACCTAAGAGTGGGGCAAAGAAAATCTTTGTGGCTGCTTTACAGCTGAAAGCTTCTAAATCGATCTCCTATTCTGTCTAGTGTGTGTACTATGTTAATAAATATTTTTTTCTTAATATTTTCTCCCCTGTTCCACCATCTGCCCCCTGCCTGCCACTTCTCCATCCCTCACAACCCCTGCCCCATTTCTCCCTCACACTGTTAACTCTACACTTTCCCCTTAGGGTCCATTAATGTATATCCAGGTTTCTATGTATTTCATGTATTGCTTTCCATTCCTTTGCACATCACGTATCCTTTGTTTCCCCTAATCCCTTCTTAATCTTTGTTTTCCTCCAGTGTCTTTCCTTTTCTATAATCCTCCTGAATTTTCTTATCTTTTCTTTGTTTCTCTCCTGATGCTTCATACTTTTGAAGGCTACTGGAGAAAAGCATTCATGTTTAGCAGTATAATTTAAAATTTATACATCCACTGGTGTATCTACATTAGTGTTTGAGTTTGGATAGGGTGGTGCTTTTTAAGTTTATCTCTGTATTGTCCCAATTTGCTGTTTGTTGATTCACATGACGGAGCACTCTTGAAAGACATGAACAGGATGCCTTCTGGATGAAATTAAATCAAACAACAAGCTTCAGAATAAGAATCTTAATACACTCTAACTACTAATGAGGATTCAGTCTATGGGACTAGATGAGAGTTAGTCCAAAGAAAAACCCTGACACTGGGCTCGCTGACCCAACATTTTCCCTCTGCATATCTGCTCCTACTGCAGTGTCCTTGCTAATGCAGATCTAGCCCTAGTCTGAACTAGTCAACCTAGGCTGCTTTTGGAGCTGATTTTAAAGGGAGTTGAGAACAAATAGCTCAGACTTGCATGGAAGTGAATCTCTGTGGTCCATCTAGCATAGGCTTGACCTAAACTCAAGACAGGCTGTGTGGGTGGATGCTTGCACAATTTAGGTCCAAATGAATTGCCTAAGTTAGGCAAACTTAACCCCTGACAAGAAAACAGTTGGAGTTCAACTATTTTCTTGTCAACATGTGCAGATTGTAAAGTGCTGTAATATTTTAAGCTTTGCTTCTCAACTCTGTATTTTAACTTTTTTTTATTTTTCAAATGTTAGGGGCAGTTCAGCATTAATTTGGCTGGTACAGGTCTGAGGCTATCCAGTACAGTTAAGTGGATTGCTCAGGGGAACTATGCAGTTGCTGACATACACAAATCCCATGTAAGTCAACGTTGTTTTCCTTTTCCTGCTCTTTTGGCTTTGATTATTATGCTTCCAGAGGTGCAAGTAATGACACTCTAGTGAAAACTATTTGCAAATCAAAAATAGTGTTCGAAGTCTCTCACCTAAGTCTTCTTCCAGAAGTAGTACAAAAACTATGTTTAACCACACCACCCAGAATCTAATCCAGATCAACACTGCCCACCTACCCTTCTCTTACTGATTTTATGAGTCTATTGACATATTGATTTGGTTTATGAAAAGTTCTGAAGATGGCTGATAATACTCTAAAAACTAAACCAAAACAAAATAAAACCAACAACAACAAAACAAACAAAACCACAACACTCCAAAACCCCATTTTATTCAAGATATCCTGCTACAGAGGATCCTTACAGATTGCTTGCCTCCAGCTTGATTTATGTGGGAAACCAAAAGACCAGTTGAACAAGAACAATAAGCATGCACAGTTTAAGACAGCATTGGATAGTAAGCCAGGAAAGAAGATATAGAGTGATACTGATAAAAGATCTCTGCTCATTTTGCTAATTCAGTGACCTCTCTTGATTTAGTGTTTGTAGGTACAATTTGACATAAGTCTGTTGTGTACAAACCTCAGGGAGCTTTTTGTACGACTGTGATGTCAATTGCTTTTCTTGACTGACTGTTGTCTTTGATTCTCAGGATGGTACTAAAATATATGGAAGATGTGGAGGATTTTGTGGAAAATGTATTCCTAACACAATTATTGGTCTCCAACTTCAAATACAGGGAGAACTCTGATGTGGTAAGAGCATCAAAGCAAGAACATCTGTCATTTAGGTGCAAATTGTAGGTGCTGTGTATATATATTTTAATTCTTTCATCTCTGTAACACTCATTACTGTAATGCTCACTAAGATTTCATGTTTTCTTCAGGGATATATTACCTGTTTGTGGGCTAGCAAGTGCATAAATCACAATCAGAAACCTTCAGGTTTTAATGGAGAAGCATTCATTCAATCTATGGTGTGCATTAGCAACTAAATTGCACTGAGGTTACTACCATGAGTAACACTCTAAATTGTACTGTAATTGTAACACTTTACCCGCAACTAATCAGTGCAATTCTTTATGCAATATTTGGTAAAATTTATAATTTCAGATACTGCCAATTTTGTGAAAACTCTTAGGAACTATCTGTCAACGGCTTACAGCAGAACAGTGTATAACCAACATACTTGAGGTAGTTCCTATCAATTTGTGTGTTTCTCTGTCAGTAAAAGCATTTTTTCCTCATCCCTCTCATTATGTTCTTGGTGGTGCTCAAATACTAGCAGTAATCCTGAGAAGTGTGGTTTAACCTCTATCATCTTTATAGCATGTTAAACATCTGGGCTTAGTTTTGTTGTGGTTACAGGAAAAGAAAATAAGGAATGAATTGCTTGGAAATCTGGTTTTAAATCCCTGCCTCTCATCCAAGCAGACAATTCTGTGTACTGTAGCATCTGGTATGTGATTGTATGGATACATATTTGCTTAAACACTTTACATAGACACCTTACTCCTTTATACTAGCCTGGGGCATATTAGTAAAGGCTGTAGTGTGTCTCCCTCTTATATTCCAATTCAGTATAGTTTTCAATAACCTTAGTGAAAACCCTGGCCAGAGGCAACATCAAGCCTCACAGTGGTTTTGGTGTCTATCTTTGACTCGGTCTAATTTTTCAGTGTTTGTAAATACAGTTCTAACACCTGCTAGTTAAAACTATTTCTTCCAGAAAGTAAGATTACGAAAGTTACAGGGTTAAAAAAAACTATCTAGCTCTTTGATTTGTTGTTTTGTATCACAGTAAGGTCCAGAGCTATAGAAATATATGCATATATAATAATAATATAACAATGCGTGTCAGGGCCAACTCTCAGGTATTCAGAATAAAATTTTCTACATGCATAATAATATATATTATGTAGCAGATAACTATACATGCTTTTTCTGACAATATGCATTCTGTAAACCAAATATTTGTTTTGCATGCCAGTACAATTGGTAGATCAAATGGCAGCTATATAGTATTTTTACCCACAGAGTTAGCCATGAATTAGCAATATATATTAATTACAAACAATAGTGTACCACAAAAGTGTAAGTAGCTACTTTTTAGATAACACATGTAGGTAATTATTTTGTGATCTCTGCATCAGAATTGTATTTTTGCACTATGTGCCTTATATTAGTTGTAAACATTAATAAGAATATAAAACATTATTTTCCTAGAAATATTTACATTTATAATTAAAATACTGTAATTTATAAAATATTTATATAATAAATATGCTTGTGTGAATGGTACCAGAGTACTTTTGCTTTTTTTTTTAGTATCTAGCAGTTAGTACAAAACATTGGAAAGACATTTCAACTTGTTTATGCACAGAATGAATGCATTCTTAATACTTCTTCACAGTAATATACATTGGTTTATACTGGAATAAATGCCACACAAGCAGGTGATAGTTACAGGAATATTTTCCATGAAAATGAATCCTACTTCAGAGATGCCAACTCCATGTCTGTGTGTCTTTGCAGTTGAGCCCCCATATTCACCTATACCTTTCTTGGGGGCTTGCTCTGTAAAGCGTTCACTGAAATAATGTAGAAATCTGAAATAATCTTCCTCCTTCCTGTGCTCAATTCAATCAATTCCTTTATATCATGGTCCCTTGACAACTGCTTTAGCAGAAGTGGAACTGCAGTCTGCCTCCATACCTAGGAGGACCATTTTCTTTTTAGCCCTGAAACTCCAGTAGAAGGGCTAGGAAGCACTCAGCTCTGCTGCCACAGAATCACTCTGAAAATCCACTACCAAAAAAAAGGTACATTTAACCAAATATTCAACAGAGCATGCTTTTTCATGGGGCAGTAGTAGTGATTTTTGAGTAAAAGTGTGTTTTCTGTAACTAGAGCAAATCCTGTGGTGCAACATGAACTTCTGCATAAAACAGCATGGTCTTGTATAATAGTTTTTGCATCTTTTATTTATTTTATCCTTGCTTTGGTGTTTAAGTGTAGGGAGAAAGTACTTGTATGGGCTGGCATTTTGTGAATTCCTTGTGTTGGGATTTTGTTTTTGTTGAGAAAAAGAGCTTAATCAGTCACCTCATTTCAAATTACTAACTTCATCCTGAGGGCAATTTAAGGAAAACGTGAGTCTGGTGATCAGCTCTGAACAATTTGGAGTCTGGATGATGGTGATGTGTTAGAAGGTCATGCAATAAAATGCAAGTCATGGCTTGCAGCTGCAGTATGATGTTTCCACCTCCTTTAATTGACACTGCTGTGGTTTTCCATTGCACTGGGCTTCCAGGATGCCTGCCAGAGTAGGGAGGTGCTCCATGAGAGCGCTACGAGCTCCACCTCGTGGGTCTGCATGTGCCGAGCTGCCCATAACTGGTCACAGTCACACAGCTCTCCAGCTTTCATGGATGCTTAGGAAATGAAATCCTGAACTGTCCTGTCACTATTACATACAGAAGAAAATAGTAATTAAGGAATAGTAATAGTTACAGATGATTGTAACAATGCTTAACTAACTACAATACCCTGCTTATCTGAACACTGATTGCTGAAGATGAATGAGATGTAAAAAACCTTGTTGCTTACATTTATCTAACAAAATGTTATCCAGTGCGGTGTGAGACCAGGTACTGCCATGTGGCAATACCTGTGACATCTCTTGTTGAAGACATCTAGGTATCTTCTACCAGAATTTCCTCAAAGGTTACATCTGGCAGGTAGCAGAGGAGCTGGAATCCCTGGCTTTGGGTCCACTAACAGGTCTCCTGATGTGATCTGTTGTACCACTCTCCCCGCAGAGAGGAGCAGAATACGCCCAGGCATTGGGTCTGGAACATGTGTGTTGTACAATCAGCGAATCCCACGTGTCCTGGTTCTGTGTAAAAAGGGCTTCAGGGCAGGACCCCACGGAACAGAATTTTTGTGTGCTCCCCCCAAAAAGAGGCTTTGCACAGATTGGAAGTTAAAGTATATTGTTTAACAGGGAACAGAAAGCAAAAAGGGAGGTAGATATATAGACAAAGATGGGAGGAATACAAAGTAACAAGATATACAAACCCCAAATCTCAGATGGCAGTAGTGTTGCTCCAGACCGCATGGAGCCAGGCAGGCTGAATCTCAGCAGCACCAAAACCAAGAGCAACAAGGGCAAGAGAGAGAGAGAAGCACCCACTTCCTGACTCTTATAGAGTGTGGAGAGAAAGGGGAGGGAATAAACTGCTCCCCCCAGGACCCTCCTGGGTCCTAGAGATCACCTGTCCCATCCCCAAGCCTCAAACCACAACACCATGTTTATGAGAAGTGTTGTGGCTGTGTGAATTCAGTGTGTATCTATGTTTATGCAGTCTCTGATGGATGGTCCTGGATTTTTCATACCTATCTGGAAGGCTACAATAGCCAAGACATACTCAAAAAGATGAGGGATAGCTTTGGGGTTTTTTCTTTCTCTCCTGTGTCCAGGAATGTTTAGCATAACTTCTCAGCTTTGTTGATTATTTGAAATAAAAGTCATATGTAACAAGAAGGGTGTTTGTCTTTGCAATTTTATTGTAGCACCACATGAGATCCCTGAGAAATTCAGAATCTGAATAAAATATTACAATCTCATAAGTGCTTTCTATATCTTGCAGGGCTTTAAGTAGTCTTAATAGGAGTGTGCGGGTTGGGTTTTATTGTTGACATAAAGAAACAAATAGCTTCCTAAAAATGGACGTTTTGTGCCTATCAAAACTGAACTTGAAGTTCTGAAGAACAGAAACATATTTTTAACCTTCACTTAAAAAACAGGGAACAGCAAAAGTATGTACAAAATAGTTTTGAAGCATGATAATCTATATTTAATTGGGAAATTAATATGAAAATGAAAAATATCTGTAAACATTGTAGCTGAGCTTTTATAGTAATTCATTTTGGCTTTATTTATAGGTTAAAACAATTTCCAAAGTGCACTCCAAAGAAGCCCACCAGGACATTTTCCAAAACTTAACTTTTACGTACAATACACTTCCATAGTTCTAGTCTTGTAGATGAGTACTTGAGCCATGAAATGCCAAAGGCTGCACTTAAGTTCCTTTATACTTTCTCATGTATTGAAGAGTTACCTGTAACTTCAACACAGGTAAGAGTAGTACTGGAGGTTGGCATGACAGAACTGATGTGGGATACTGCTCCCCAGGTAACCCTGGGGAAGCCTTTGTATCCTCTGGACCAGGTCGTGGTCTCTCTTGTGAGGCCTGATTTGCTCTCCTGAAGCCCTTGCCCATCTTTTCCTGAGCATTTATTTTTCAAGATGGTCTGATGTATCTGTGCATTAAAATAAGATTAGAGGGGGGCCTTATCAGCCTCTCTCTTTCTGATGTGCTTCAGAAATGGGCTGAATAGATCATGGAAAAATAAGGTGTGGCTTTTAAAGTGTTTTCCTGCTTCAGCATAGTCTTGCCTTCAGACAGAGCAGGAACTATGATGATAGCAGGGCAAAAGTAAGTGTGTTTTATTCAAACAGAAGAACAAGCTATCCGATTTGGAGTTGAATCCGACATGTAATCTTCTCACCCACAGAAAGTGGTTTTCTTTTGCACAATTAAGTTTATTTTGTAATACCATAGCTTGAGAGGCTTTTCTGGGCTTTGTTTCTTCTGGCTTTAGAGACGCAATCTTTGCTCTGTTTCTGATAAATTTCTCCTGTGCTCAGTTATGGTGGATATTCCTTTGAATCGACTGTATAAAAATA